GTATTCCTTTTTGAATAAACAAGTTTTCGTAAAGGTATTTTATTCAACCAATTTTTTGTGATGATAATATTTCGGATTTACGATACTCATGTTCTCAAAACACATTTAATCAGCGTTGGGAGAAAAAAAAAATGCGCCAGAATATATAGTCCGTTGTACAGACCCATTTTTATCAAATTATTAACATCCGGCTGAAATTTAGAAAAATAGGTTCACCTCATCGTAACCTACAAATATTTTATTTACGAAAATTTACGAAAATAGGGGCGTTTTCAATCTGTAGGTCGGCAAACTTTATTTATTTAATTACGTACTAAAAACTGGTAAATACCCATTTGTTTTCAACTTGAAACATAAGAAAGATTGAGCAAAAGGTTAAAAAAAAAGTGGCCTTCAAAAATATTGAGTCGTTTGGCGTGACCTACACCACCAAATTGTCAAAATAACGAGGTTATATAGACCAAACGGCCCAATATTTTTGCAGGCCACCTTTTTTAAGAATTTTGTGATCAAATTATCTTACGGTCTAGGTGGAAAGCAAATGAGTATTTACGAGTTTTTATTACCTAATTAAATAGACAAAGTTTGCCGACCTCCATATTGAAAATGCCCCAATTCCGAGGATTTTTGTAAATAAAATATTTTTAGGTTACGATGACATGAAGCTATTTACGAAGTTTCAGCCGGATGTTAATAATTTGCTAAAAAGGAGGTCTCTGTCTGTACCTTTTGCTCTGGGGTCTCTGACATTTTTGCCTTCCTCTGTCCTGCCAATCTCCTTCACGCCATACCCCTGTTCATCATTCCTTCCTTTACGCCCTCATACTAGTTTCTCCTCGAGCTACCGATGTTATAAAAAAAAGTAAATTTAATTCTGAGAAGTACCTAATAATAATGAAAATGAACAATAAGTATTATATTATATTTATCTGGCGCATAATGTCAGGTAAAAAAATTATTAAATTACAAAGTTATGTAACATTAAATTAAAATAAAATAATAGCATAAGTAAACAAATGAAAATATGAAATTATAGATAAATAAACTAAATAAATTATAGATAAATAAGTTGACAAGTGAAGTAGGCTGATATATTTGCACTGGTAAGTAATATAAATAATAACTATGAATATTAGAAAAATAGAGCTGGAAACATTAAAATTCTAATATTTAATTTTTACAAACACTGATATGATGGGAAAACAATTAGTGTTTAAATAAAGTTAAATATGTGGTTTTGCGTTTGGAGGTGGGTAATGAATTCCAAAAAAATGGTATCACGGAACGTGAAGAATTTTTCGAAGGAAACAGTTCTACGAGGGTGGTATGAAAAGTTTCCGACCTGACAAAAATACAAGATTTTTTTTTTTTTTTCAACATAGTCTAGTGTTTTTTTCAACCCTCCACACTTCTCCTAGCGATGTTCGCATCTCTGTAATCCGTCCAAAAAGTACTTGGCGTTTTTCTCTGCAAAATAATTGATCACGAAAATAATTGCCTCTTCATTTGACGAAAATCTCAGTCCTCCGAGTGCAATTTTTAGATAAGGGAACAAAAAGAAGTCGCTTGGGGCTAGATCTGGTGAGTATAAGGAATATACAAGTTTGTGGGCTGAGATCTCGTGTTTGAAGAGCTGACAGAGGAAGATGGAGGAAATAAAACAAGAAAATAAGATTGTGTGGTTGGAAAGGCTCGGAAAAGGAATACACCTCAATATGGTCCTAGAGAAAATTAATAGAGCAATTTCAACTCGCGAAACGAATGGGAAATGTGCGGGTACTTAGAGACTCCAACGATGAATCTAATACAACTATTCATTAATTAACGACTTTTTGTGCATGAGAATAGAATCTTTAAACCTATAGAGAAAAAAAATCTGGTACTTAATTATACAATGATACACCGAGTTTAATCAAAATCGTTAGAGCCGTTTTTGAGAAAATTGAGAAAATGTGTTTCAGCGTTCATATAAAGTGGCACTTCCGGTTAGCCGATTTTAAGGAAAAAGTTGCCGTCACATCTAAGGCATATACCTATCTTAAATACGTAGTATAAATTTCGTAGGACTTTTCGTTTTTGAGCTAGACTGGTAACATACAAACATACAGACACACAGATCATTTTTCGGGACTTGGTCATTTCGACTCAGGGTAAATCAAAACGTCTATTTCCGTTGAAAACTCAGATTCAAAAATTTTATCGATCGCAATATTTACTCTTACTAAATATTACATATATACGTAAGTGAAAGTAAAAATCAGACACAAAACTTTTTATGGATAAAAAAACCAATGCTATATTTCGAAGAATTCTTCCTCTTTTTTAGAACACAAGAATAATGGAATGTTTATGATCTTAACTTTTCTATTTATAACAATCAATTTGAATGAAAATGTGATAGTTGTTTAATAATAAGGTGAAAATAGTGAAAGCACTTCCAGTTCGATATAATTATTAAGAGAAGACTGTCTATTAAATTGTTAGCAATTTTTGGCGATGTTTGTAACTATTTAATTATTAAATTATGAAAATATTAATTTTTTTATCTAGAAAAAATCTTTGCTGATTGTCGTAAGTAATATTGTATCGTTAATTTACATGCATATATAATTCTAGCGACATCGAACCCTTCATCTAACACAAATGGCCTTTGGTTATTCCACACTGACTTATTACTAATGGCAAATGATTATCATCCCAGGAATTTCGCCAGGTTATTGCCACCACTAATTACCAATACCATTACTATTTGCTTATTATTGACCATAAATGAGGCGATATATTAAAATATATTCGCCATTAGGGGTTAGCAAGATAATAGAGTGGTTATATTTCGTATAACGGCTATATTCCGTTTACTAAACTATTACCTCGATTATTGGTCTTATGAATCCTTCCGTAAGGAAAATAGCTCTGATGAAGGCTTGAACTATTTCGTGTCACTTCATTATTTATTATAATCAAGTAAATAATTAAAATACACAATTGTTATAGGCAATGAATAGGGAGAACATAAGTATAATACAATAGACGCCTGTGAAAAACATGGTAATTAGTTGTTTCAAAAAATATGTTGTGCCTTCTGTGAGTTTTACTTTCTCTTCATAGTATAGAACAGAAAAATCAACTTTGCAACTTGTGGAAAATAGTTTTTGAAAACTATACTTGGAAACATCTGGAACTAACAATCAGCTACGTGAATTTCGATAGAGGATCGTCACTTTGAAAAGTTGTGTTAATTTCACCATATTATTCTTAGGGTTGTCATAACTGCTTTAAAATGCATTCATAACTGTAAAAGTACATGTTTAGCATAAATAATAAGTGAATAACATATAATAAGGAAAGAAAATCCAACACCAGCCATGGTCGGCGAGCCTTCAGCTCCTGAGCTTTCGCTAAGTCAAATGCACATTCCTCCAGATGACAATACCAATAATAACAATTCTTGGGAACTGGTTCCTGGGCGAAAAAGGCTCATGAATAGTGAAACAAATATTCCACAACAAAGTCAGGTTATCTCCACCTGTAATAGATATGATGCTTCGTCGTAACCAGGCAGGGGTGCCCATCCCCCCCCCCAAGGTCGATGGCGCAAGAACCTATCCCTCCTCCCAAGATAGTTTATTGCTCACCTTTCATTAAAAACAGAGCAAGCTTAGGCAGAATTTAAAAAAATCGTAGATCAAATACAATTAGACTTGCTACGATATGCTCCATGTTTTTTTTTTCTTGTTCTTCCCTACCTCGCCTTTTAGGCTATACGGGGTTTTCCCGGGCCGGAGGGTGAGGGCGGGGAATTTACTCGTACTTTTTAAATCATCTCAAATCTTGTTCTCGGCTGCCAGGCAACTCGCGGTGCTGTGCACACGCTTTAGCCCATTCGGCCACCCCGCGCCATGTTTTCCCCCCTTGTCCCTTAGTCCGAAAATTCATAACTTCATCTAAATTTGCTCCCCTCAAAAATTCAAAAACTCATCAAAATGTTGATGGTACCACTTGCGCCATGAAACCCCCTTCCGGGCACCTCTGCTCCCGGAGAGTAGTTATTAAGGGACTTCATCATACTATGCCCATAGAGGTCATCAAAAAAGAATTAAAAGAGTATGGGTAGAAAGTAACTGACGTCGCCAACTTAATTTCTCGCTTTAAAACACCCCTTCCGATGTTTTTTGTTGACACATCAAAGTCAAAATTCAAGGAACAAATCATTGATATAGAATACATCTAAGAGCCAAGACGGAAGAGGGTTATACCGCAATGTTTAAGGTGTCACCAGAATGGTTACACAAGATAATACTGTAACCACCCACCAAGATGTGGCCGATGTGGCCTTAACCACGAAAGCAGTATATATACTTAATCAAGGGCCACGCTTGCAAATGTGCCAATTGCAGTGAGATCACCCAACAAATTATAAAGGATGTCAAACCTTGAAGGACCTTCGAAATATGAGAAGAAAATTTCAGCGGTCAACGCCTGCTCAACCAGTGGAGATAACTCCTCGCCCAGAAGAATTCCTGCCCATCTGGCATCACATCAAGGAACCCACTCTGAACATCAGCACCAGACTCAGCGCAGAATATCAACAACCCATGCAGTGCCCCAACAACAGCCGGCATTGTCAGGCATAGGAAGTGGCATTACCAGCTGGTATCTCCGATGGTTAACGGTTCTTCTCAAATAATAGAGCTCATTAGTAATCTTAACAATAGTAATCTTGTCCACCCCCATTTCATCCTCCTCCAACTATTATCACAAATTATTCAAGTCTGATTCCCCACTTATGCGCCCTAATAATTTAACCATAGACACTTTGTCAATTCTCCTTTGGAAGGTAAACGGACTCAACTAATGTTTTTCAAGTCATGTTTTTCAGACATGTAAACAGATTTTTCTTTTTATAAATATTTGACTCTATATACCAAAATCAGAATCTCTATAAAACAGAATATATACAGCAATTTAAAAAAAAAACAATTTATTTATGTTGGGAACAGGTATAGGCTACGCCGTAGTTTTAATTGCTTTCTATGTTGACTTCTACTACAATGTCATCATCGCTTGGGCTCTTCGATTTTTCTTTGCCTCATTCACTGACCTCCTACCCTGGACAACTTGTGATAACACCTGGAACACGCCTAAATGCAGACCTGTAAGTACCACTGATCTGGTTATTTAATTTTAAAGTAATTTATAATCCTAATAACTGATACCTATTTTGGTTATTATTAATTGTGACTGCAAAGGTGAATTTACTTAACATTTTGGATACTTTAGTTTAAATACCAATAAAATTAATCAATAGGCTCAAATCAAATATTTTAATTCCAAGATACATGTATATACACAGTATGAGAATTATTCTAATTTATCAGTTATAATATAATATTAATTAGATGTCATTTATAATAATACTAATTATTATTATAAATGCATTATAAATGTATTAGTAATGACCACAATTTTATCTATTGAAAGTTCTAAACAACACACCCTCATTTAAAACTGTTATTAATTTTATTTTTTTATTTATATTTTACACACAGTATAATTAGTTCAAAGCTAGTACTTCTCCTTGCATATATCTTCAAATTTGTTTGTTAATAAATCTATTTTTAAAAAATTCTATAAAAAATTATTTCTTTAAGCAAAAAAAAAAAAAAAATCAAATCAAAGAATTTTATTCTATTAAATAAAGTTGAACAAAAATAAAATATGTTATAAAGTATGTAAGCATTTTACCAATGGTATCCATGTACATAGCTGAGATGTGACAAAACATAATTACAATTCAAGAATGGAATAACTGAAATAAAACAATCGAAATGTCTACTTTCACCAAAATTATGAAAATGTCAATAATATGTAGAATAGAGTATTTATATTTTTAAAAAAGTCTAAGAATATCATTTCAACATTTACTGAATTTTAATTACAACTTCTCTCCATTGTAATATATGATCCTTAAAGCAACATTATAGGCTTTAAGATAAAATAAAAAATGTAGGTGAAATATTTAACATCTAATTAGATGGGTAAAAATTCTGTCAAATAAAATGGTCTTATTGTATTTCTTTCTATTTATGTAATATGGATAAGCTTGATGTCAACATCTGGTCAACCGAAACGAACATATCCATCCTTAACATCACATCCAAGAATATCAGCACTACTGCATCATCATCCACAGAATTTGCTTCAGCTTCATATGAATATTTCACGTATGTATACTTTCAATATCATATCACACATTGTATGGGTGTTTTTTTAAAAAAGCTTACTTTCCAACTCCAGAGTTTCAAGAAAGTTTCTTCAAATAAGCCATTTATAATAACAGTTGGATTTAAACTAATTATCGATTCATGACTGAAAAGAATGTACCATGGGCTTTTATTTTTATAAGATTTTCTCATAAAATGAGCATATCCTGAATTCTAAGAAAAGAAGTTTTAACTAAAATTGATTTCCTAACTGGTGATGGTTTTGCGAATAAAAAGTTTTAAGACCTCACAAAGAAATTTATAGTTTTTATGAATAGATATAGTAAACAGTAATGTATATATGTATGTATGAACATTATATACAATGAACATTATATATATATATATATAATGTATGTATATATTTAATATAATAATGAATATATATATACATACTTATAATCAAATAAACTAAAAAAATAGGTTATTCTGCGACAAATTCTATTGTGTTAAATGTTGAAATTTAATCATATCTCAGCAATTACTTAAACATAAATACAGTATTCCCTCAGAACCCTCTCCTTGATTTGTGTAAGGATCAAAATATTGATTGGAGTTTTTCTATGTTTTATTATAAAAATAAAACTACATCAGTCATAAATATTTTTATTCAATAAATAAAATAATTATTTTTTCCAACAGTCGAGCTATTTTGGAGTTACATCGAAGCGAAGGTTTGCACGACCTTGGCGCCATTAAATGGGACATGGCTTTATGTCTTCTAGCTGTTTATTTAATTTGTTACTTCAGTCTTTGGAAAGGAATTTCAACCTCTGGTAAAGTAAGTAAATATATATAATGCTCTAATTTCAGTTTTTTTTTAAATTTAATATAATAAATTAATTATTATATTTTTTAAACCAGGTTTATAAGAATATCTGTAATAAATAATTGTTTTTTGCAGGTTGTTTGGTTTACAGCATTATTCCCTTATGCTGTACTGCTTATTCTCTTAGTCAGAGGAATAACACTCCCTGGGTCAGCAGATGGCATCAAGTATTATCTGAGCCCAAATTTCACCTCAATAACAAAAGCTGAAGTATGAATCATTCATTTAAAACTTCTAATTTTATCTAGTTCCATTCAACTTAGTTTATTTTAATTAAGTAGTTTTCTCTTAAAAGTATATTCCTTTACAAAGCCCGAGTCTAGCATCGCATAGGATTATTATATTTTCAAGTAATAAGAAACTAGATAGTTATAACATGATAATAATTACAATTAGTGAGTTAAATTTTAGTCCATACAGCTAATTGAAAACTGCAGATTTCATTAAACTATTTGAGTTACATTACTATTACTAATACACCTTAATTTAATAGAGACATACATATTACTTAAATGAAATCAATTTCTATAAATTAAAAAGAAAAACATATTGATTTAATCTTAGTATTAAGGCAGCAATTTTGTGATTTTTTCTTATTTTTTTTTTAAATTTGAAAACTTACTTAGTTCTTTCTTTTTCTCTTTTCTACAGGTTTGGGTTGATGCAGCTACACAGGTATTCTTTTCTCTTGGACCAGGGTTTGGTGTGCTGCTTGCTTATGCTTCCTATAATGAATATCATAACAATGTTTACCAGTAAGTAAATTGTATAATCGTACTAACAAATTTTTTCTGACCTATTATTTTCATCAAAACTGTGAAGTGTAGACATTCATTAATAAACACCAAACTAAAGCATCAATAAAATGCTACATGTATTAGGAATTATATAGTATTAGCAAAAACTACCGAGGTATTTCGCTGTTACCATGCGCCTATAAAATGACCCATTGAATAAATTTTGATCTTCTCACTCTGACTAGGGTAAGTTGGTAAACTGTAACTTTCAGCCCTATTTATAGCACACAAGGACGTTAAACCCAATAAACAACATCAATTATGATTTATACTAATTTTTTATTTTTTTTATTTCGCTTTTAGGGATGCTCTCCTGACATCTCTTATCAACTCTTGTACAAGTTTTGTGGCTGGATTTGTCATATTCTCAGTATTGGGATATATGGCTCATGTAACAGGAAGAAATATTTCTGAAGTGGCGACAGAAGGTCCAGGGCTTGTATTCATAGTTTATCCCGCAGCTATAGCAACAATGCCTGGCTCTATCTTCTGGGCTCTCATATTTTTTATGATGTTGCTAACTCTTGGTCTGGACAGCTCGGTAAATAAACAAATTATATAGTTTAATAAAGTAATTTCATTATATACTTATTAGTAAAAAAATACCTTTTACAAAAAGAGACAAATAAAATTTATTAAACAATTAATAACTTTGTCTCACAAGATATATAAAAGAATAAAAGTTTGAACAATAAAAAAAAATTGCAAATCAAAGAAATCAATAAATTTTATTTGTTATATTTAATTTTAAGTAAATTAAATGTTAACCATTTTATTTGTTAACAGTTTGGTGGATCAGAGGCTATAATTACTGCATTAAGTGATGAATTTCCCTTAATAGGAAGAAATAGAGAAATATTTGTTGCTTGTCTATTTACTCTTTACTTTATTGTTGGGCTTGCTTCATGCGCCCAGGTAAGATAAATAAAAATCAATTACTTAAAAATTGATGTTTTTAAAATTACCAAAATATAGTATTCATAAAATTTGTTTCAATATGAGATATTAAGTATTTAAAAGGAACTTTATTAACATTGAGCTATTATTAACATTCTTCTTCTAAAAATGATGTTTCAAATTAGTTTTAAGCAGTATTGTATTAGCATTATGTACAAATATATTAAATCTGACAAAGCAGCAAAGGCTGTATCACAAATTCCTCCATCTGACTGAAAGGGCACTTACAATGACTTTTTTAAAACAAAAATAACATAAATAACTGAAATAAATTGCTGTGTTATTTGATGCACTACTACTGGCAACAAACTTTGAGAATTTACCCATAAAGTAAACCTAGCCGTTATTATTTAAGAGTAGAAGACAAAAAAACGGGAATGGAAAAACCAGATTGGACATTAATACTTGAAGAAAGGAACAGACGGACCAATCTGAGAGCAATATAACATAATGATGACTGATAAAATACCTAAAAACTGACTATAGATAGATGACTGGAACCAAATTTATGTGTAATAAAACAACATTGTTAAATATAACAAATAATGCTTTGAAATTAAAAAAATTGTAACACTGCAATCCTAGAAGGGTTTTGGGTTCAGCACTTTGTAAGGATTTACTGTCCAGGCTTTTTCCTTTAATCAATTAATTAAAGATTTAAAAAGATTGGGTGTGCTACAGTAAGGTCTCCCAACTCCGGAGTCAGTCCATGGCTTCTGTAACAGAATAAATAATTTATGGCCACAGCCGAACTTGAACCTGAGACCAGAGCATAGGAGCACAGCATAGTGCCTTGTCATTATTTGCATCCGTTTAACTATATTGCCAAAAACATCAAAATCCTTCATGAGATAATAGTGGCACACACCAATTGCAAAAAGTGTTTGGTTTGTTGTTTTTTAAACTTTGAAGTTTTTAGTTTTTAAGGGGTTTGGAAGTTTTTAGGGGTGGCTGAAACTTTAAGACCTATTGAAAACCAGTTACCAAAAATTTGACTAAGCGATCTTTTCGACCTATAAACAAAGACCACAGTGTTATTCTGATGTAAAATAAATTATGTGAATAAAACCTTAAGATAGATAAATAAATGAAGTATAAGCAACTAATGCAATGTTATTTTTATCAACAGGGTGGTTTCTATTTTTTTCACTTACTTGATCGTTATGCTGCAGGATATTCAATCCTTTTTGCAGTATTCTTTGAATCAATAGCAGTTGCTTGGATTTATGGTAATAAAAAATTTAAGTATCATAATTTTCAATGAAAAAAATTTTGAAGAAAATAATGTCTAAGTAATTATTTTTACAGGTACAGAAAGATTCTGTGGAGACATCAAGGACATGATTGGTTTCCGACCAGGTTATTACTGGAGGATTTGTTGGAGATTTTTAGCACCACTCTTTATTATGGTATGATATTATAACCTGGACTATCTCAATATTACATAGATATTTTCCTAATTACATAATACCAATTTCGATTATTTTGAAGAAAAAAAAATATCAATAGCAAATTAACAGAAAAAACAATAGCTATGACTTTAGTGGATGATAATATACTCTGTATGAATGACCAAGAATTGCTTTTAAATATTAGTAATTTTTTTTTTATTGATTAACAAACCTGTAAAACGTTTTAATTTGTGTTTGCTTGAAAAAAAGAGGATGAAGGTGGAAACATTGAGAGCCTACACATTGAGCTAATGATTGGATTAAATTGATGAATATGCTTCTGTTTTTTTCAATTCTGTAGCCAATACAGCTGTCCATCTTTGCCTATCTTGGGCTATTTCTTTCCAGTTAACTCCATACAACTCTGCTGTATCTTTGTTGATCTAGTCTATCCATCTATTTTTGGGCCTTAATCTTCTTGTCTTTATATCATGAGATATCAATTGACCAGTTTCTGTCTGCCCTTGTTGTGCGCTGGTATATTTTCAACAATTGGTCATTTATTGAGATTATTGTGGAGCAGAGTTAATTGAATTTGTCAACTCTTGGGAAAAATTTATAATTTAAATACAAATTTTGGTTAGATAATACATTTTTTTTTTATCTTCATTTACTTTTAGGCTGATTTGCTCTGTTAGAGAGTCTTTCAATGTAGGGCTTTGAAGAATCCAAAATTATCCATGCTTCAAGGATAAATATAAAACATTATATAAAGATAGACTCTTCGTTAACATTGATAAAGTTTATTTAAAATACTAACAAAAAAAAGTTGAATAAATAAAAAATAATTGACCATTAAATGTTAATCAACTATAAAATATTTGATCTGAAATTTATTTCAGTTTATAATTGTTTACGGACTTCTGGGGTATGAACCGCTGACATATGGAGAGTATACTTACCCAAACTGGGCAAATATTCTTGGCTGGGCAGTGGCAATGTCGAGTATTATCATGATACCTGCAATGGCACTTTATCAGATAATAATAACTCCTGGTACTTTTTTACAGGTAAAAATAGTTTTTATAGTTTCTTTATAGGTGCATAGATTTTATATTAGCTATAAGAAAACCTACAACTATACAAATACTCAACTTCATTTTCTTTGATTATTCTAATCCAATGTTAATAACAAAATAAAAATGCAATTTATAAATTTATAATCTGTATAAAAATTATCTCAGCCTTTAAGAGGCATAGTAAATTTAATGTATTTGTTATGCCTCACGTGTCCTGGTAAAAAATCTTTGAACTGTGATTCATAACCAGATAATATATCATATGAATTATCTAATTAACTTATTTTTCAATGATAACTTCATAATTTACTGAAGAATCATAAATCATATTAATTAATGATTAAAAAATTAAAAGAAATATTTCTTTAATAAATTAAACAAAATCCCTGACAAAAATCATTAGTAAATAATAAGGAATCATAACATAATGATAAAATTTTGTTTTATTCTATGGAAACTTATAATTGTTGAATATAATCCTATTTTAATTCAATTTCAGAGAATGAAAATACTAACAACACCTTGGAGGGATCATCAAACTGTATTAGCAAGGTCAATGTCCATGAATGGTATACAAACAGACCCTGCACAAATCAGGCTTACTACACCTCAAACAACCGATCAAGTTTAACTTTTTTTTTGTTTTACTTAGAAATTCTAAATTTAGAGTCATTATGCTTCTAAAATGCTTGATGTACAAGTTATATTGTTTATTAAAATACTTAATTGTTGGTCTAATAACTTAACTAATGATACTGAAATTTATTTAAAAGATAAATTTTAATAAAATTATATATATATGCTTAGGTACAATGCTTTACGCTAATAAAAATGTTTAAATTAACTGTTCAGCAAACTAGATTTAGTACAACTTGATGTTTCATAGAAGAAAATTGTGTAACTATTTTACTAGTATACAAAAACATGATTATGTAGACAGTATGGGCTAATAAAATATAAATATTTTATTGTGTACTTAGAATAGAATGCCATATCAACTAAGCATACTATTTAACCAAAATATAAAGTAGGAAACAATTTATGCCTGCTCAAAATAATACCATTACTACCTTAAATTTATTAATGTATATTTAATCTATTTATTTATGTTTTTATTTTTCGTAATTAGGAAAAATAATAAGAACACCATTAAAGTTTATAGTCCTATAGATATAAATGTATGAATATCAAGGTAAAATTAGTTTAACCAAGTAGTAGAAATAAATTGTACAGAATACATTTATAATAAAACAGAAACTAGTCTGATTAATAATGTTCATTATTTATATACGTTGTTATATATAACTATATTTTCAGTTAAACATATAGAAACAAATGATAAAGATTGAATTAGATGTAATCGATGAAGTTATCATAGAAATAATTGCCATATAGAAAATAAACTAATTTTAATATTCAATGTATTAGATATAGTTAATAGATTGTATCAAAGATTTACTTATAACTTATAGATAGCATATAGAAGGCTAATATGTTTTTGTCTAATAATTTATTTAGAAATTAAAATTTAGGTTTATTACTCTAAGCTGTAATGATACAATATTGTAATGTATAAAAAAAATCAGTTAAATTATATATATATAATACAAAGACTTGTAAAAACTTAGGATCTAGAAAACAGAATACTTATGTATATGTAAATGAAAAATATATTTGTATAGGAAAGTGCCAACCAGCCATTTGGTAATTTTCTACGGGTTTGTAAAAAGAATAACTACCATGTATTGGGGTTAAAACTAATAAATATGGTGTGTGTTACTAACTCTATTTTTTCCCCTTCTAATATACACATCTCCACGTTTCATAATAATGGGAAAAAAATCATATTAATTATATTCCTAATTAATAATTATGACAATTAATTCAATTGTTTTTTCCTACATGCATCTATAATAAATGCAAAAGAAATTAAATTTAGAAAGCATATCGACAGGCACACTACAAAAGCCTGTAAGAATAAATACTACAAATTTTCAGGAGATGAAAAAAAATGCTTAACTTTTGTTCTATTTTCAATTTTTTTTACAGGCCTAAGGGAAAGATGTAATCCTCTATGTAACTTTTTGGCTGTATTTCTGCTAATTAATCTTTAAAGCTTCTAAATTATAGCTGTTTAGTTATTTTGAAGACAGGTATTAGTTAGGTAAAAACAATCAAATTTATTGTAGTAACACTCATATCTTTGTTAATAATGATCAAAGTATGACAGAATCAAAGTCAGTTTCCAAAATATAAAGAAACAATACTTGGAATGAAAATTTATAAAAAATTTGACTGGAAAGCGAATAATAGATCACACGGGTAATTAACTTTTTTGGTATCTCACTGTAGGTGCATGAACCCCATTTTGGAGTAGTCTATGAAAGATTCGTTTTTAACATACTCAACATCATATAGACATGGTTTTATTCATGAATGCTTAGTAAGTTCTAGTACTGTGTAGATCACTTTGTTTCTGAGCTTCTTGTGATTTCGAAGATTCATTGGTTTGTAAAGATGAAACTAGAGTTATTTTTTTTGGTCTTATAATATTTTTCAATCAATTCTCTGTCTTTCTGTCTTATCTAGAATTCCGCGTCATTGTAGCTTTTTTCCCAGCCAAGCTCATTTTGCAGTGTTAAAGAGATTTTGATTGTTTTATTTATATTATATTCACACTTACCACTCTCTTCTTTGCTTAGTCTAGTTCCATAGTAAGCAGTGCCAGCCTCAAGGTAGGAGAACCAGGACATTTGTCCCCGTTACTTATTAGAAATTTAAAGAAATAATACAAACGGTATGAGAAAAATTAAATTTATCTTATTAATAAAGCTAATTGGTACTGTAGTCTATGCACAAAATGCTTTATACAATTTGTATTTACATGATCACCTTTCATTGAGCATTTAATTGCATTTTTTCGGTAACGACTCAATCTCTATAACCTTCACTGTAACTTAAGAGTTTTTTACATCACAATTTTCTGGTTTTTAAATTACTGGTTTTTACAAAAGGCCTTAGATAAGAAATGAAACATAGTAGATTTCACTTTGTGAGGATCTGCGACAGAATAAGATTAACTAGAAAAGCTCAAAATCTCAATTTTCAATATAAATTGTCCTTACAGGCTTTTGCAGTGAGGCTGTCAATATACTTAAAAACTATTCCAGATAATAAAACAAAACAAAAGAACTTTCAATAATGACATATATAAAATTATTAAATTATGAATAATATGCATGAAATCAATAGGATAAACATTAGTGTTAAGGAGAATACAACCATTCAAAGGCATACATAAAACATTGGAAAACAAATATCATAAGAAAAATGTAAATTTCACAGTGGGAAATATAGAAATTACTGACTACATTATTACCTGGATTCATGAAGGGTGTCTGATTTTTATATCACAGGAAGCTTTATCATACCTGTTAGTTAAGCACCCTAATCAAATCACCTTAGAAAAAAAAAACTTGCAACTTTATTTTAAAAAACTATCAGAGCAACTTAATTACTGACTAAAGGGCATTTACACCACAATACTATTTAATAAATTGAAAGATTAAAATAGCTACATAAAAAAATTAATAAAAGAACATTGTGTTACATAAGACAACCGCCTGGGATATGAAGTCAGTTTAGCCAACAATAAGAAATGTTCAGAGAAGCAATTAGTTACATAATAACCAAAAGTGATCTAGGTCGTTTGTTTCTACTTCTATTCTAATTATATTCACCTTTATTATTCAGATTCAACTTTAAATTTCTTATCGTAAACAGGAAGAACTGCATTCGTGATTTTAAACTTAACACAATTTTTAGTAATTTTATGCTACTAACAGCAAACACTTTTATCCATTTTAACGGGTTTAGGAATTCTATTTATATAAGACTGCCCAACAATTTACATCAGTGAGCCCAAAACCGGAACTAGAATTTCAGACAGAGGTGGGGGGGGTTCAAGATTAAGTTTACCGCCCCTTTTTCCACTCCATTCCTCTCCATTAGAAGTCAACAGTTTTAAAGCAGTATTTCCGATATATTTTGAAATATATATCATAACTTTAACGCATGTTTTTAAGTGAATTAAGATCAAAAAGTAGAAACAAATATATGTTTTACTTAGCATAGCGAAAAATAAAATAAATTATCCCACGAAATTTGTTACTATTTGAAATCTTGTAATCTGCTCTCCCTATGCCCCTCCCCCTCATCGTTCCGACTAAATAAGCCCTATTAAATTCTGAACATCCCACAATTATTTCCTTCTTAATTACAAACTCCTTCTTAATTATGTTTTTAATTTTTCTATTTGGCCATTTAAAATGGAACACTGCATATTTTAGATTAGTTTTCTAGATATTTCTTATTGAAAATTTGGAAAAAAAATAGGAATCTTGCTAAAAAAATATTTTGGAAGAAAAAGAATAAGAGGATTTAATTGAAACTAGAATGTGATAACTTTTTTGAGGTTAATTTAGCTGCAACTTTCATTTGTAGCTATGAAACATTTGAAAATTAGTAAACTATATTTTACTGAAAAAGTATTTTTCTAAACACAATTATTAGCTAATGCCACTACCGGATCCAGGATTTAATTTTTGGGAGGGGGCTTTTTTTCTTCTAATAACGTAACGGTAATTGCTGTGGAAGAAGAAGGGGGAAATGCCTACATGAAATGATGTTTTGGTGGTTCTGGAAGGCAAAAAAAAAAAAAGATTTTACAGATAAATTTCTTACATTTTTTTGTGCTTACATACATTAAATTTAACTACAATATTTTTTTTTCATTAAATTATCTGCAAATTTCTGAAGTTGTCTTTTATTTTTCAATGAATAATGCTATGTATAAGTTACTGTCCATCAGAGAAGGGCAAATACTAATTTGAGTACTGAGTACCAAGTATTTTACTCAAATGCTGACTTTTTTGTTAAATACCAAATAATTTCATTACTAATTCAATTGACGTCAAACGATTAACTGAAGTAGTGATTGAATTCCCAGTAGTGGTTCGATTTGAGTAAAATACTTTGTATTCGGTACTCAGAGTAGCATTTGCCCATCTCTGCTGTCCATGGGAAATTTAAGAAAATTTAAGCTTTGTTCTACATATACTTAAGATGAGCAGATTTTAACAATGGTAAAGCGGAACAGCATTGGCTGGGAGGAGGAAGGAGATTCTTGATTAAATTTTGGTTCACCAAGTCCAAACAGGGGTCCAAAGTTGTCACAATAATTAATTTTACATAATGATAATCTGGTACAAATGTTAATCAGGTGACATAGTATTCAGCTGAAATAAGGTTGAGAATTTTGTTTTAAAGGCGTATATTTGAGAGAAAATAATTTGATGATGTATTTGACGTATAATTTATGTCTTCAATAATAACACAGTTTTGAATACTTAAATGCTTTGTGTCACCAGTTTGTACACAATCGAGCAGCTCTTCTTCAAAATGCTACAAAACTTATTGAAGGTGACAATTTCGTAATCAAAGAAGTAAATAAAGTTAATTTGCTGATGCCTAAAATTTAATCTTTTCCTTATCAATATATTCTTTTAATAACGATACATCATTAAAAAGATCATTTTCGGGTTGTTTATTAAGTTCAAACAATGGAAGTCGAATTCTAACAACCGATCAACAGCAGTGCTAGATAATCAGTTCTTAACAATTATTCTTTATTGTTAATGTTTAAATAATATATAACTCATATTTAAACAGCGACCGTATATTCTCTCCCGTTCTTCTGCCCTTCCATAGCTTGTCGTGCATTCTTTCCAAAAATTGAGATATTTTTCAAATGCCGCAGTACGCAGAACAAATTGTTAAAAAGTGAGATTATATGAAAGTATCGTCACCTTGCCTGTACCCTTATTCTTATGATATAAGGTAACTAATAATGACTGAACTACTTTTAAAAAAAAAACTTATTTTCATATGATGGCTTCAGAACCGAGCAAGCTTTGTTTCCTACCTCAAATCACTTGGCTATACTAGGCAGAACTTAAGACATTATCAAATCATGACCGTTATCGGTATATATCTCTGTTCATTATTCACTAAATCCAGCTCCGATGTTTTGGCAGTCTACCGACAGACTTCAGTATCCTGATTACCTGATTGCAATATTCAGCATCCCTTGGGCTCTGTCCCTGTGACAAATTGAAGTATCACTGTTTAATGATACATGTATTGTTCCGAATCGTCCCAAGTTTAGTATCAAGTCGGTTTGGAGGAGCCTTAATAATTACACACTTTAAATATCTTTTGATTATTTTAATAAATTCAAGTTGATTGATGATTTTGGTTGAATAATCTAAAAAGGAAAAAAATGTACCATTCTGATTATTTTTTCCTATTTAAGAATTAAACTGTTCCGTTAATTATGCTCAATGACATTTATTTTATCCATTTCGTGGGATGTGACCTAGGGATTGACCTTAAGGATACCTATCTTTCATGAGGTTTAAGAATCGATACCAAGAGATCATTTGATATGTTTATTTGTTGGTTATCGTGTATGTTTATTGCTCTATGGTCGGTAATTTGAATGGTAAGGTTTCAGCGTGTTTTTGATAGTGATTAAAGTACATCGAAAGAGGCACTGTCCCGTATTAATACGATTAGGAAATAAAATCTCTCAGAATGTCGGCTTTGCGTTTAATGTTTTAATTTAAGTAATATCATATTGATCCAATTTAGTTAAAAGGTTGTGATATTTTAACAGTAATTGAACTATTAAGATTCCTTTTAAAGCAAAATCCTTAGAAATAGAAATACTCTTGTAGTAGAATATGGCTCCTCCAGTTGTTGAATCACTAAACAGTGATGAAAAAGCAATTATTGATTTCATTAACAAAAACGATTTAAGTGGTTTGAAGGCACATATGAGTCAACTTGGAATTAAACCTACCCTTGTTGATGAACATGGTATGACCCCACTTTCACATGCTGCTTATAAAGGATATTTTGAAATATGTCAGTATTTGTTGGATCAAGTAAGTTATTATGTTCATGTTAATTGGTTTTAACGAATCCTCTAATTTTGTTATATCTGTACACTTTAGTTTATTTTTCATAGGGAGCTGATCCTAATGCTTCTCATCACCAACATGGTTACTCAGCTTTGCATTTTGCAGGCTTAAGTGGAAATGTGGAACTATGTCAACTTTTATTGGAAGCCGGCGCTAATATGTCGGCACTAAATTCAGTAGGACGGACAGCAGCTGAAACTGCAGCGTTTGTTGGTAGTGTGAATATTAATATACTTTAGTCGATTTCGTAACTTTCAATAATAATCAACCTACCCATAATTGGTAAATTTTTGTTATGTAAAATGTTGGTAGGTTTCATAATACATGAATGATGTTATGTGCATATTTTTCATTAATTTATGCTTCTAAGCTGAGTTAACTGTTTTAATTTTGCTAATTCCATTTTTTTTTTCAATGTATATAAATTTATTATTTGATGTTAGATATTCAGAATGTATAACTTAGTGAATTTAAGATAGATTTATTATTAAGCTTGTGCCCAGTATTGAACTTGATGTGGTTGTAATTGGTAGATTTTCTATCCAACTAAATTGAAATAACAAGTAATCATTTGTTTTATGAGTAAGAAATTCATTTTTAAATTAATTAAAGTATCTTAATGACAGAAGAGTTTATACGAACCATACCTAGAAGCAGTGCCGGCCTTAGGGCAGAGCCGCCGGGGAAACGCCCTGGCGCACTGACTTGGAGGGGCATCAACCCATTTTAAGGGGTGATTGCCCCTTGTTAAAATTGAAAAAAATATACAAACGTATTAAAATAATTAACTTTAGCCTATCAATAAAGTAACTGTATTAGATAAATATTGAATTAAATACAATTGAAATATTACATAATTTAAACAGCTTAGGAAATACATTTAATTTTTTAGGGGGAGGGGAGATGACATCATTGTCCGAGGATGCAGAATGTCTAAGGCCGGCACAGCCTAGAAGTGTTATTTTAATTATATTGTAGAAAGACTTGGTCACAAGGACATAAAAGTAAATACCCTTAATTGGGAGACTAAATCTGCCGTTGAGCATGGTCAATGATCTATTTGCATAATTGTGGTGTACAAATCATCTATTTCTTTTCCTTGCAAAGTAATGAACCAAAAATCCATCATGGGTTGTGCTGCATATTTTTTAGGTCGTGATGACTTACAGATGGTTTCAAAATGGCGAATTCAGAACCAATGTTGGCTTGATATCCTGAGGCTTAAATTTATTTTTATGTGGTTTCACAAATTACATTTAGACATTTGTACTTTCCTTATTAGTTAGATTAGAGTAATAACCTTTTGATTGCCATATAGATTGTCTGATAATTCCACAATAGCTCTGGAATCAGAGTTCCGGCCAGGAGCTTAATGGTTTCTCATTGTAGACTCTCAATAACACAAATTTCTAGGGCCAATAAAACAAGTTAAATTATCGAGTTTGTAGACTTACCAAGGTTTGAGGTTTGACCTTGAGGTCTAAGGTTTAGGTTTGAGGTCTAACATAAACAACTGCTGTATAAAAGTCCTTTATACAGGACTTAAGGTTCTTTTAAGTTTGAGAGAGTGAAAAGTTTTATATACCTTGGGTCTGAAATTAATAGCAAAAATGACATGGCTCAAGAAATACAAAGAAGGGTCACGGCTGCCAATAGATGTGTCTTTGGACTTGGCCGACACTTAAGAAGTAGGTACCTCTCAAAGAAGACCAAGCTGATCATATACAAGACCCTTGTTCGGCCTGTTTTGACATATGGCTCAGAGGCTTGGACGATGACCAAAAACGATGAGATGAAGCTGAGTGTGTTTGAGCGAGGAGTCCTCAGAAGGATTTATGGTCCAGTAAAGGAGGGTGATGTCTGGAGGAAAAGAAAAAATAGGGAGCTCAGTTCTCTCTATACAGACATCGACGTAGTCACATATATTAAACTGGCCAGACTAAGGTGGGCAGGGCATGTGGCCAGAATGAGCACCGTTGAAATACCAAAGAAAACAATGATGGAGGAGCTGCATCTCGTAAGACGGGTAGGAAGGCCGAGGACGAGATGGTTGGACAACGTGGCCTATGATGCGAGAACCCTGCTTGGTGTACGGAACTGGAGAGCTGCAGCAGAAGACAGAGCCAACTCGCGGAGGCTCTTGGAGGAGGCCCAGTCTCGGTAACGGGATGTCGTGCCACACATGATGATGATGATGTATAAAAGTCCCAAGTTCATCGAACTTTTTTTCATCCCTACTCAAGTAGTAAACCTGCACAAAAAATACAGGATGTGTGAGGTAGCTCAGTGGTGGGGTGGCACAGGGCGCTGAGCTTCCAATGCCAAAGTCCCAAATTCGAATTCCGGCTCATGGCAGAAAAATTATTTATTTTGTTTTGTTGGCTGTGGGGCGACCCTGAGGTTGGGAGACCATCTTGGGGCACTCCTAGCCTCTATAAAGTGGGTATCCTTAATTAAGGGAGAAAACCTGGCGGTTGAGCGTGATCTTGATCAAATCAGCTCCTTGCACAACCCTTGACCTAGAAACAGTGCTTTCCCTAAATAGTACTGAACCCAAGACCCTTCATTGGTTATTTATGTTTTTCCAGCTTCAGTCATCTGTTTGATGCACAAATCCTCCCCTTTAGCTTGCTAATTCATTCCCTCCAAGATACTTAATCTGATATCGAAACTTTTGAAAATGTGTTGGAAGATAAGGGGAGGCTGAATTAACTTGGCATTTTCTCTTTTTCTTCTTCATAGTCTCATCTACCACCATGATAACCTTCTGTTTCTTTCTCTTCCTTGTATAATGTCTTACAATTATTTCAGATATGTTTAAAAATAGCCCTATAAATGTAGTGAAAAGAAAAGAAAAAACAGGATAGTTTTGTCAGGTATGTTAGGGCGGGAGAGGTAAGTAAGCCCTTCAGATGAGGCTTTGGTCACATAGGCATCTATAATCTTTGAGTTTAGAGCTGGTGTAATCTTAACTTCGACTTTTTAACCAGAAAAAAATATCATAATCATATAAAAAATGGAGGAGGCAAGGCTCTAGTTATGGTTTATCTAGTTGATTGACTTCAGCAGTCCATGGCTCCTAAAAACACAGAAAATTTGCCTGTTTGGATGTTTTTATTTTTAAATACTCAACTTATGGAGGTAGTAAGGAACTCAAATTTTTGAGGGTTGAAAGTCAGAAGTTATTACAAAAAAAAAAAAATGTTGTAGATTTTTGTGTTTAAACAACTTATGTTTGTTGTTTTATTCTGAATTTTAATAGTGACCAAAGCTCTTCATATTTTGGAAAAGTTCTAAAGCAATTTCTTTAAGTTTTTTTCTTTGTATATTAAAAATGTTTTTGATTGATTTATGTGCTGGTGCCAAGAAATGCTTAAATGTTTTTATTGAAATAAACTCTTCTTTCATGTTATTTTGATTTATTTTATCATTTCATATCTTTAATAGCTCTGCACAGTTATCTTATTCATGTTTCACTTTAAATTAAAACTAGCTAATAAGGTTATTAAAAGCTTATTTTTATTTTAGGAAACTACAGGTGTGTTAGCAGTATTAATAATTACCTGCCAAAATCAGAAGTAGATTACTATAGTGTTATTCATGGTCTGGAAACTGAACCTAAATTATCTCCAGGTCTTGCTGCACCTCTTCATAAATTCATTATCCAAGTACATTATTCATATTTTAAAATACATTTTAAAAAAATTACTGAACTATAACCCTTTAGGATGTTCGAAAAATAATTAATTATTAATTTTATTAATAATAAAAATAATTTAAGGGAATGTGGGGGTTTCAACATCAGGTTATCCCGTTGAATAATATTAATGATTTTCAAATCTTGTTGAACCATATCTAAATCAAGGTTAGTGAATATATAAGAATTTTTAATGGACAAATTGACCATTACTGGTCAGGTTTTAGCAATTAACAAATTAAGAAAACCGGAAAACCAGGTTTCCACTTTCGAACACTGACCATTGCTGAGCTGGTAGGTACTGACCATATATGAGGTTGTGATGGCCTAGTATGTTAAAGCGTACACTTTAACATTCTTGAATCTAGCGACACCGGTTTGAATCTGGCCCACAGGGCTTACTCTTCCATTCTGGTTAGAATAGGTTTGGTTGTACGTCTAGAACAACCTCCCTACTAATGCCAACATTAGTGAGGTAGAGGGTATTAAAAAAAAATGATACTGACTGTATGCCATATTGCTTTTCCTGTATTCTTAATTTTCTGGATCATACCACAAAACCATTCCACGAGTTATCAAGTCAATTCTTAGTTAGGGGCGAGTTTCTGTTAATGGCTTATTATTAAAAAATGATTAGGATTTATTAAATATAAAATAATGGAAAAATACAAGGTAATTAATTACAGTAAGTTATAATTATATGTTGAAAATACTGTTTTATTGTTAGTTGAGTTGTTGTTTATTTAATGCACAACTTCAGAAATCATTCAATAGTTGTACCAACAATTTGTTGCATTTTTTTAATAGTATACAATAAATTGAGGGGAGAAGGAGAATTCAGGTCTAGAACATTCTTCTTTGAAATATACTCAACTATAACATGTTAGTACCTGTACCATTTCCGAAAAAATCCAAATGTAATGAAAATATTTTTATAGCCAGTAATCTTTTTTTTATTATTTGAATTGAATTTCAACTAAAAAGTATTTAAAATAATTTATAGTGACCAATATATAACTCCTAATTGTGTTTAACTCACATACCTTGTTTGTTTAGTTATTGTTAATTGAAATTATTTGTTTTTCGTTGTAATTGAATAAATTACATAATACATGTAATTGTTTGTTCATTAAAGTTTATTTATTCTTCATTATTTCATTTAATTGATTTTCCTTAGGTAAATGTACACCCTGTGAGGATATCCCTAAACCTTCAACCTAAACTAATAAAACATCTTAAACAAATTAAGAATGTTTTAGAACTTATGTGTTCAAAAGAAATGAGAAAGGGTTCAGGTTCTAATGAAATAATGGCTTTCAAACTTCATTATTTATCTGCTATAATTGCAGAAATACAGAAATATCAGTAAGTAGCTTTATTTAGAATATGTTTGCTCTTCTTTATTATGTCTTTCTATCCATTTTGATAAAAAATAAATTTTAATTAGAGTTCCTGAAAAACAGTCAGATGCGGTGGAAACTTTTGTTCGAAAAATCTTGAGAAGTGGGCGAGGTGAGGGTTACATGGATCTTTTAATCAGAGAAGCCGTGAGGGAATTTCCATATAGAAACAGTGCACTCCTAATACAGGTTTGTTTTACTTATTTTATACTTATATAATGATTTTTAAAAAAATGATATATTGAGATGGTGGCTGGAAAAAGGGTCTTTGTCTGAAAAAACATGAGAAGCTTTTTTTTTCATTTGTTGCCTTACTAAGATATTTTAACTTGTTAGGAAAACTTAAGGGTTTTCAATGGCTTCTCGAAAAGTACTACTTTCTTCCCATAAATAATAAACCTTTTTTTGTTCTCCCTTCCTCGCCTTTTAGGCTATATGGGGTTTTCCCGGACCAAGAAGAGAGTAGAAGATTAATGCCAAAATTAAAAGCCTCCCTGGGACCCTAACTCGTAATTATTTCACTATCTATAACTTTGGTGTTCATGTTGCCGGGCAGCGCGCTGTGTGGTTCACTCGGCCATTCCACCCCTCATTAAAAATATACTTGTAAAACTTTGTATTGAAATCCATGTGAAAAATGTTTCTGTCACATGCACAAATTTTGCACTTGGTTCTTGTCCTGGAAAAATCCCAGCATAGCTTAAAAGGTGAGGAAGAAATGGAAAATAAAAAAAGTATATCACAGTCAATAAATTGATGAGTGGGCTGTTTTATATATCTTTCTAACCTTCGTCTTGCTCTCTCCCTCCCTCCCAATATTTCCCTAAGTCCAGGCACACAAATTAGATCTTTTGCTTTAACAATTCTTTTAAAAATTTTTTTACTAAATCATAAAAAAAAAAAACTCAGTGAAAATTGATTAAAAGAATAAAAAATAACATATAGGAGCCCAGAGGTTAAAACCAAAGAGTTGCAACCTGGGGACCATTGCTAGTTTATATATTTTCACGTTATTAATGTACAACAAAATTAAAATAATGTTACATTATTATTATAATACATAATAGCCTTAAAACTAATTAATTAACTGTAAAATGTTGTTCAATCTCATTTCTTGCAACCATTTTCAAGGAACGTGATCAAAATAACAATAATTTAGTCTTCATGGCTATGAAGTTTCTCACTTATTTTTCTTAACTGCTCTTGTTGAAAATCAATTTCTCTTTGCACTGCGTTAACGAAAGCCCTCAATTTCGGGACTGCATGAATCTTGTATTTTTATTCATCGATGAAGATACGGTTATAACGATAAGTAGCTAAATTTTGTTATGCATATTTGTAAAAATTATTAGCGTTAAAGAAAAGTGGGTGGGGACAGATCTACATTTATACAAAATAAATAAAAAACAATACAAAAAAAAACTTTAAATGGTTTATTCCAAATTGATAACACTAACAAATAGTAACAGAGTGTTTTAGAATTAATAATTCTTTTTTTAATTCAAAATCTTTTTTCTTTTATGATTTGATATAATTATTTACAAACACTTATAATTTTTTCTATCTGCATTGATGGCTGAGATATGGATCTCTGAATCCTCTAATTGGCTGTAATTTAACAAAATAAAAAATTATGTGAGGTAATTTCAAGTTCTAAAAATCACGGTGCGTTGATGATTAATTAGCCAATATTTTTCTTCTAAAAAAAAAATATCTAAACTGTACCACCTTTGTACCTTTCTATGAATAATAGGTGTGTTACTTCTCTGATTCAAACAGTTGTACAAACCAAATAAATAATAATTCGAATTCAAAACTTATGTAAGATACAAAACTTATTTCAAGGATTCTAAAACTACAATCTCCAAAAAGAAGGTCTTTTAATTAGAACTTTCTTGCTTTTTTAAAGTACATTTCCAACTACTTCTTCAATTATTATCTTTTGGTTGTAAAAAAAATAAATAAATAAATATCCTTTGAAATATTTTAATAGGTTTACCAAAGAGCTTCTTAGGTTATTAACATCAAAGAGTATTAGCAATTTTTGCAAATATTACTAATTAAATAAAAATATGGAAAATACTGTCCTGAATTATATGGATTTTACTCCGCTACATTACTTTAAATATATATTTATGGTTACATGTAAATGTATATTTCTATACTGCTGTTTGATAAAAATAGTTGATTTTTTTTTTTTTTTTGGTAGATGGTGACTAGTTTAGCTAAGAAAAATGAATCCCCAGAAGCATTGAGTGTTGTGACTCAAGCAATTAATGGCCAACATGGGTTTCTATCCGACGTGGTCACTTGTGCTACTTGCGCTGAAGAAAATCCTGCCAAAAAATGTTCCAAGTGTCGCCAAGTGCAATATTGTGATAGGGAATGTCAAAGACTTCATTGGTTTATTCATAAGAAAGAGTGCAATAGAAACACTGATGATTTAAGCAATAAACTAGATACTATGAAGGTAGATTAATATAGATTAATTTAATGAAATATTTTCTATAGCAAAGGCATGTAGTAAATTCTTTACTTTTTTTATAACTGAAGCTACATTTTCAATTTTTTGAAGAGGTAGCATTTTATATGGAAAGATAATCATAAAGACCAAATAATTTGTACTGGCTTATAATAAAAAGGAAAACAAATGTAGACAGTGATATTTAATATTATAGATCTAATGTGATCACTTTGTACAATGTATTATTAGCCGCTATATTACCAATTTCTTATTAGTATTTGTTACCAGTTTGAATGATTATTTGATAGTTTATTTCCTTTCGATTTTGATGACAACTATATTGTTTTAGAGTAGCTAAACCTTATCGTAGAAGTCATGATTAATTTTTATAATCCTTATAGTGATATTTTATATCTTGTTCTGTACAACATTAACAATCAATTTGAATTAAAAGTGAAAACTTTTGTAATTTTTATTACTATTATTAAACAATAAAAGGTGCTATAAAAAGTGTAATGTAATACTGATATACTTATTTATGAGAGCAGTTAGCATATGATTCTCATTGAAAAATATAATTGAAATAAAGAAAAATATCATTATGTGAAGAATTAGTCGTAAGCTATGTATGAAAAATTAATAATAGAACAATAAAATACTTCCTCTTATTTTTATATAGACAAGTGTACAAATTTTAATAAAATTATTAAATAGTTTCTTTGTATGTTTGGTTATCCTTGTTGATTCATTTTCCTTTTATTTAGGAGTACAGCCGAAACCACATATTGAACTTGAAGGTTCCTTAAAAAGATATTAATGAACAGAGTAATTGAAGATTTCATCTACAACTTACATCAATATCTCAGACTTGATCTTTATTTGAAATAATCTTTTTTTCTTTTCCAATACGGTAATGGTTTTTTCCTGAAGGGATTTCTTCAGTTTTTTTTAAAATATATTATTTATTTATTATATTCTATGGTCCTATTATACAAAAATAGGCTATTGTTTACATAATTTTAATTAAATGATTATATAATTTACCTTAATTTAATACTCAGTTAAACATTTGATCAAAAACAGGTAATATAAAAGGTCTGTTTCAACTTAAATTTTGACTATTTTCAAACTATCAGATGCTTGGTGGTTCAGGTTTTGGAATAGAATAACCATACTGTGCATGCGCTGCTAGTCAAAACTTATGTTGAAATAGATATTGAGGTTTTAGATAATTCATTCATTTTTCTCCATTATTCTTGAACTACTCTATCTGGTTTTCAAAGCATAACACTCATTGTTAGATCAAACTGCTAATAGAAGCTCCAAATACAGGCTGAAATCTACTTGTGTGAAATGGTATAGGTTTATTTCTTTTTAAATTTATGTAAAACTAATTTCTACTAAAAATAGTGGCAAGTGAAAGTTGTGTGATGTGTTGATCCAAATGTTTTATAAAGAATCATAATTTATTTTCTCTCTACTCCTAAGTGTCATTGGCCTATTTCGTCACAATTCTATAAACCTTGCTTCTCATATATACTCGAATCGTTTTCTAATTAGGCATCCTGAAGAAATTATTCCATTGTCATCCCCATCTTTGGGATATGTCTTAGATTAGAACTAAGAAGGTGCTGCATTGTAAAAGAATATGGATAATTGTTCTGGCAGTTTGGCAATGGGTACACTTTGGGGCTTCCAATCATCGCAGGAAGCAGCCGTGGAAAAAATCACTGTAATCTATATAGAGTTGGCATGGGATAATAATCATATTATTTTTAGCTTCGTAATTATATGTTTTCAATATCACTGAACTATTATTAAATTAATTACATTAAATTGGAAATTCCAAATAATTGAAACTAAGAAATATGTTTATACTACCTTGATTATTTTATTGATATTGTGAGGTTTTGGTTTCCTTTATGTTATTTGGACTAAAACACTAATAAAATTTTTTCTCCGAACATTCTGCCGTTATATTATCAAATCTTCCTAATTTAAATTTAAATTTTCTTATTTAGCATTGATTATTTCCTGTTAAAGAGAATATTTTTATACCAAAATTTTATCTTTTATAATTTAATCTTTTCATCACACAATATATGGCACGATTTTTACAATTGGATCAGACATTGGTATTCTTATAGGTTTTCCCCTCTTGGTGGTTGTTAGACTTTTTTTTATTCAAATTTAGGCACTATTGCATATTTTGATCTTTTCAAATTTCATCAGTCTGTGCCGAAGGTTATCAAAATATCCGAATGAATAAAATATATTTCTTGAAGAAAAGAACGGTGAATATGATATTGAAATTTCACTTCTTGAAAAAAAAAATAGCATAGACTAAAAAAAAGAAATGCAATTTATGTGAAAGACCCATGAAAACATGTATAATTATTGAGTGAACAAATGAAAATGAAAAAAAAGTCCAGAATTATATTTTCAGTTTATATCAACTCATTTCTTTTAAAAAATTGTCTTTTTTTAGCTTGAATTATTACTAAGTGATAATGTTATTATTCATTTATTCTATTAATCACAATCCCAGGATACAGTGAAATCCAAATGGAGCTTACTAGGTTTTTAGACATGGACATGGATTTTGCTTAATATACATCTGACTAGCATATATGTAGTACATTATACCAAGATCTTAAAATAAAACAAAACAAATTCAGCCCGAAAGCCCTCCCTCCCTCCCCGTAGATCCGCCTATGTATTTCACCGACTGTAATCCTCAACTAACTTCTATTAAAATTATTATTGTGTTTCATCATGATTTTATTTTTTTTAATAATCTACTAATCTAATGAAAATTATTGAAGAGAAATTGGTTTGGGTGTTCAGTCAAACAAAGAAAAAAAAATAAATTATATTTATTTATTTAATTTAAATTTTTCTTTGTTTGACTGAATGCCCCAATCAACTTCTCTTCAATTGTCTATGATCAAGGATGCGTAGAAGGTAATTTCATGACGCAAGTTTTAAGGGGGGCCTATTTTGACGGGTTTTTGAATCTTTGAGGGGCAAATTTCGACAGGATTATGAATTTTCGGACAACAGGAGAAGAGGAAAACATGGAACAAACTGCATCAAGTGTAATTGCATATGATCAACAATTTTTCTAATGCTACCTTAGCTTACTTTGTTTTTAAGGAAAAGCTGAATAATAAAATATCTTGGGAGGAGGAGAGGGAGCAGGTTCTTGCACCATCGACCTTGGGGGAGAGGGACACCCCTGTCTATGACAGTAAATTATTAATGTATTATTGCTAAATACAAATAAGATAATTACAGGAAGTAGTACTGTTTAAACAACTTTCCTCTTACCACAACTTTATCCAAATATAGCAATATATATTCATTTTAATGTAAAAAATAATTGATTTGATAAAATAATTTATTGGTATGTTACTTATTCTCCAGAAAGCTAGAATAATATCATAAATAAAAACTGGCAGAACAGAGTATGAGAAATAATTAGCATTTCTAAAATTTCGCAGAAATAGCAAGATTTTTTAAAATTTGTGGAATACAATCAATATTACTGCTTACATATATTAATATAAATAATTCTAAGCAAAATTATTATTTCTTCAGTTAAAAAATGAAAAAAGATTTGAAAAATATGTTATGATTGTATTAAAAATAACAGCTGTGATTCAAATTTGAACCACTTCTTAACCTATATATGTACTTTTTAGTGTATTCATATTTTTGTTGCTAAGTTAAATAATAATCTAAATAGTTCTCAACATGTATTATAATTTTAAATCAGTATTTAACTTTGTTATTTTACATTTAGAGTCAGCCAGTTACAAGCTATCATTATGATATTGTATAAATCCAACAATTGAGTTAATAAATGAAGTATTAATGGGACAGAAAAGTGTATCAATACTTGTTTTTAAACTTTTCATTTGTTTTTTTATTTACTTATTGCAGTCATACTTATTGAAATATTTGGCAATAGTGTTGGTTCTTTCTGTAGACATTGAAGAAATACAATTATTTGCATTTTAATTTTTAAAAAGTTTCCACCATGAAATCCAGAAATGGTGGCTTTAGAGGTCATTTTACCCTTTTATTGTCTAGTTATTTTTATAAGTTTATTAATTCATTAGCAGTATTTCTTTAAATATTTTTTAGCTGCATTTTAGAATAGATTTTTAGTTGAAAAATTCTTTTTCCCTGAATATTTGATCTTCCAGGTTTATTCTTTCTCATGGGATATAGCTTTCAAACTTACTGGCAAACAAACGAAGATAAAATCACTAGTGTTGAAAGAAACAAAAATATTCTTGCTATCATAATAACCATTTGCTGTATCCTTGGTATGTATTGTGTAATTATTGAGATTCATCAATGCAATAAAACTATGACCCAGGGGTAGAGCACTTTATTACATTTAAAGTATAAACATCAGGCACATCACCTCTATACCTTCCATGCTTACCCAAGCTACACTGCCTTGGAGTCCTCCCTCCAAATACAGTGTTGCCATAAAACACATATAATAATAGTGGATAGTCCACAACAGTATGTATGAAGAAACCTTCATGAAATTCATTCTTATTTATTATATTGATGTCAACTATGTTCTTTTTTTGTTTTACTCATGATATTAATAAGATAAATATATAGTTGATTTTAATATATTGTTGTTTATTTGGTTTATTATGCTTGTTTCCTTCAGCTTAGGCAGAAAGGGATTGTTGTCATACTGGTTACCCATTATAAGATCTAGCTAGAGCAGAAAATATTGAAGATCTATGACAAACATTAAGTTAATCAAAAAGTTTATTGCTGTATTATCTTAAGAAAATTTCAGAGTTGTTTTTTTAAGAATTTGGTGCAAAATTTATTTTAAATTGTATATATGAGTTCTCCATAGCAGACATGGGCAAAAATGTATTTTAAAATACTTTGTTTAAAATGCCAAGTGTTTTTTGGTTCTAAAATACAATCTGAATTATGAAATATTTAAATTGTTTACAGAAAAAGTATTTTGTATT